TCTGTGTATGTGTGTGTATGTGTGTGTGTGTTGTGTGTGTCTGTGTCTGTGTGAGTGTGTCTGGGTCTCTGTGTGTGTGTCTGGGTGTATATGTGCATACCTATGTCTCTTTCTGTGTATGTGTGTGTATGTGTGTGTGTGTTGTGTGTGTGTTGTGTGTGTGTTGTGTGTGTCTGTGTCTGTGTGAGTGTGTCTGGGTCTCTGTGTGTGTGTCTGGGTCTACGTGTGTTAGCCTGTATGTGAGGAAGGGATAATTGGATGAATGTTGGCACTGTGACTGAACAGCTCTCAGTTTAGTGTTGAAGTTCCTTCCACCCTGTCAGGATGAGGTCAGCGGTAAGCGTGTCCTTGTGTGGAGTGAGGCCTGACTCCTGTTTCTGCTCATATTCCTCTGGCCTGTCTCCTCCCTCTCCTTCCCTGAGGAGTTTGTCCTCTAGCCCAGCGGCTCTGCCTCCAGTGTCCCCATCTCTGAGGAGCTAATGCAGGTTGGCTGCATTGGTGGCGGCTGCCACGGTTCCTCCATGAAGCTCTCCTGTGCCCACCCCCCAAGCACGGTCTTTTTGCTGGGGTGCTGTGCACCCCAAAGATGGCTTCTTCCCGTCACAGGCCAAGCAGGACCACGCTCCTGCTCTTAGTCCCTGGACCCTTCATTAACTGGCCTCTTTCCTGCCCCTCCTCCACCTGCTCCCCTGCTCTGGACAGTGATCAAGCCCTGTCCCAGATCCCTGGCACCTCAGGGCTCCCCGTGTCTTCCTAGGAGAACTGCTGTAGGTTCTATGTAGCCGGCTACCTTCTTGGTTGTGCAGAAATGGTTGCCTTTTCCAACCACGCTAACTTAGCCTCACACGGGGGAGCTGGTGTCCCAATGCACCCAAACCGTTGACTCCTGTGCTTTAAATGGGCACAGTATACGGAGTATAAATTGCATTTCAGTGAAGCGATTCCCCCGAAAAAGAAAAAAAAAAAGTACTCCCTCATTCTCCCTAGGGTCATGTCAGCTCCATGAGAACGCCACAATCCTGCCTGGTCACTTTGAAAGGAAAACAGAGAACAGAAGGGCTCCCTCACCCCTCTGCTGTCTGGGTGGCACAGCTCCACCCCGATCCAGGCAAAGCCTCCCTCAGATGGGATGCACCCACAGCCCCTCGGGGCGGGCCTGCCTCTCCATCCCACCCAGCCTCCTTGAGGGGCTGAGGCACCACTCAAGGGACACCACGCTACAAAGCCAGCAGCCCGAGGGTGGGGCTGGCTAGAAGCAGGATTTCTTTTCCATCTTAATCCTGAGGATTAGCCACAGCTGCTGTTCACTCTGCCCGCTCCCTTCCTCCTCTCCCTGGGCAGCTGCTCTGCACACGCTGATCTGCAGAGGGCCGGGCTGCTGAGGGGGAAGAGGCCGGAGTTAACATTTGCTACTTGGTTGCAATTGGTTCCAGCTGTGTTCCCTTCAGGGTGCCACTTGGGCGTCCCCCCCTCCCCAGCCCCCCCCCCCTGTCTGAATCTGTGATGAAGGGAATCCGTGGGCTCCAGGTACATGTGAATTCTAAGTATGTTGCACCTTTTTTTTTGTCTCTTTCAAGGAAGTCAGCAGAAATTGACACAAGACAGAGGAATGTGCACCAAGACCAGAATAACTCACCGGGTGCCTGTGCTGGAGTCAAAGCCAGGGTGATGTTTCAGGAAACCACCGTCCAGTTGCTGTGTTTACTCATCTACTGGGCCTCTCTGAGCAGAACCGTCATTTTCAAAGGTATTGGTACTCTCCCGAGGAAGGGCACAGAGGCCCATGAGCCTTTGGGGAAACTCTCTCATCTACATCCTAACAGAAGGAACACACATCCGATGGCTCTGTATCTATCTATAGGTACACATTTCTCAGGCGTGCACTGAAATATGCACAAAACTGGTGACAGCTAAGCTTTTCTGTCAACATGACTACATTTGGATTACCTAAGGAGACACACATGCCTGTGAAGAAGTTTCCAGAAAGGTTTAACCAAGGAGGGAAGACTCCCCGGAATGGAGGTGGTATCATCAGTGGGTGGGGGCCTTGTCCTGAGGAAGAAGGGGATGCCATCTGGGCAGCATGCGTTCACTGCCCTCTGCTTCCTGCCTGTGGACACAGTGTGACCAGGACACAGTGTGACCAGGACACAGTGTGACCAGCTGCCTCACGCTCCCACTGCCCTGCCCGCCCCATCGTGATGGGATGTACATGCGAACTTTGACCCTTTTCCCCTCCAGTGACCTCTGTCAGACATTCTGTCACAGCGATAAGAAAATAACCCCTATCATTGGTGTATCCAACCCATATCCTTTACCACACCACCACGAAGAGACCGAAGGAAAAAGAAAGGAAGTAAACAAATTCATTCACAAAGTCTATTTATAGGAAGAAAAACAAAACCCTAGATCACGGGTCAGCAAACCATGCTTAGGCTCTGGTTTCTTTTGTACTGATCATAAACTAAGATTTTTAAAAATTGTTTTTAAAGGAATATTTAAAAGAAATGGGAAACAGATGGTGAATAGATGATAGAGGCCACCTGTGGCACTTGGAACCTAAATCCAACCTTTGGACCTCTCTGGGCCATACTGGAAGAATTGTCTCAAGGCATAAAATAAGCCTGAGGTATCCAACCCAGGCCCTTGGGCTACAAGAACATACATACTTCTGTTTTGCAGGACTCTTTGAAATAAAGAGCTATCCTGGGTTATATGTGTCACAGGTTGGACATCCCTGCTGGGCAGCCCTTTACAAAGCTTACTGATTAGAGGGGCTTGGGACCCTTTGGCAGCCAAAGGTCACCCATCAAATGCTTCCTCAGACCCAAGGGAAGGACCAGTGGTTTCAGTCAGAGGCACCTGTACTTCCTGAAAAACAATGCCGGAAACCATGAACATGGAACCCCCACACGTGGGGTGTTCGTGGCAAATGGCAGTTCATGGGTCAGCTCTGCCACCTCTAAAACTAGGGGTAGGAGCAGTGGTCCAGAGCCAGCAAAGCTGGGGTTTATTGAGGTTTCTTTGGTTTCACCCTGCAGTGTGAAAAGCATCCACAACTTCTCTGGACCAGAGGCAGCCACTTCTGCCCAAGCGGCTGTTCCTCTCCCATCTGCTCATCCCGGCGCGGTACCCAGAGCCCATGTGCTCTGCAGGCATCCGTAGCCGGCATTGCCACCGAAATCCCATGGTTCCCCTGTTTCTGTTTCTTTCCCTGTCACTGTGATAAAATGCCCGCACAAAAACAACTTAGGGGGAGAGGGTTCATTCTGGCCAACAGCTCGGTCATAGAGTCCATCATGTGGACGGCGTGGAGGCTAGAGCGTGAGACGGCCGTCATATCACATCCACAGCAGCAAAGCAGAGGGTGGTGAAGGCTGGTGCTCAGCTCTCCTTTTCATTCAGCCTGGGAACGCAGTCCGTGGACTGACTCCCACACTCAGCCTAGGTCTTCCCAACTCTATTCACTTAGTCTAGTTAGTCCCCCCAGGGACGTCCAGAGATCTACCTCCTAGGTGACTTCAGATCCTGTTGACAGTCAATGTTAACCATCGCAACCTGGTAGCAAAGGACTCCTTTGTAAACCAGGACGTGTAACCCCACCGAGCCCTGACCAACAGGGGAGACAACAGGGTCCCAGCTGAGTCCCTGGAAGGATGGCAGGCTGGCCAGGGTCTTCGGACAGGCAGGTTCCACAGCAGCATTGGACTTACCAGAAGAAACGCCTAGGAGGTCAAAGGGCAGTGCAGCAGCTGGAGGGGCGCCTGGAGAGCACATTCCTGATGCTAGAGAAGGAAGAAGAACGGGAAGAAGGGCCCTGCCTGCAGCACAGCTCTGAAGAGCCAACCAAGCCATAGAATCCTGGAGTCATTTTTCCCACGAGTAATTTCCTATGGATGCGGGATTGAGAAAGCCACCAGGAGGGACAGAGACCTGGGCCTGAGCACCTTGGCCTGCGAGCGGGAGTTGACCTTGAAGTTGTCCGGGGCTAGAGGCTGCCAGCATACTGTCCTGACTGTAAAAGGTGTGTTCTTTTTGGATGGTGAAGCAGCGTCTTGAGGAAGACCACACTAAGCTTTAGAACACAAGTCTCCATTTTACTGCCAACATTAACTTAAATGACTGTTTATTTTCTTCAAGACTGATGAAAAGGGTGCCGGATCTTTGAGAGCCTATTTATAAGCATTTCTGTTGCTCAAGAACTGCCCTTGGTGCAACATCGGGGTCAAAATGCAATCATTCTTGAGATGCTTTCTCCACGGTGCCGTTTTTTCCCACACCATCTGAAGTATTTTGCTCCATACCCTGAAAAGTGTGAGACTGCTTAGCTCCTTGATCAAGACAAGCTTTGGGGGGATGCCACAGATCTTGCTTCGCGTTAGGTAGTGCAATTCGAACCGAGTCTTTGAACACCAGAAGGCTGGGCATGCTTTTCTCGATGCGATGAAACCAGTGACCATTTTGCCCCTACTTTGTGAGTCCACGTCTTCTCAGGGACAGAAGCTCAGACAGGACTGACCTGCAAGGCACTGTCGAGCACATCGAACACATCTTCAGCAAGGGCAGTAGGGAGGGGCCTGAAGAGACTGGGAGGGCTGTCCCCCGGCTGTGAAGGCTGAGCTGCTAGAATCGGGGAAGGGAGAGAGTTTCGTGGAGGGGCATCTACAGTGCAGTCTGGGTGGGTGTTCTGAGACCAACCCTGCCCAGCTGAGGACTGTCAGATCCCCCCACCCCCAGGAATAGCCTGTCCCAGTATTCCTGCCACCCTGGCACTGGCTAGACTACAGCAGATGTGACTTCACTGCCACTGCCGAGGGAGTGACAGATTTCAGAGCCATGCCCCCCAACACTCTCCTCTCTGGAGATCTGAGGGATGCGTTTCCATGGCAGCACAAGAATCCTCACTATCTGTTGGTTCATCATATAGAGGCCTCTTAGTGCTGTGTGGCTGATTCACATGTGATTTTATGTAATTAGTGTTTACCCTAATTTATGATTATCTCTTCAATTATTTATCAATTTTCAAAAATACTTTATTTTATTGTTAACTATGCATATGAGGAGGGTCTGGGACATGAGCGCAGGTGCCCTCAGAGGCCAGAAGTGGTAGATCCCACCAGAGCTGGAGTTACTGGTCATTGTGAGCTGACTGATATGGGTGCTGGGAGCTGGACTTGGGTCCTCTGCAAGAGAAGTACCTGCTCTTACCCATGAAGCCATCTCCCCAGCCCTTATTTATTTATTCATTTATTTATTTTTATTTTATGTACATTGGTGTTTTGCCTGCATGTATGTCTGTGTGAGGGCGTCAGATCTTGGAGTTACAGACAGTAATGAGCTGCTATGTGGGCACTGGGAATTGAACTCAGGACTTCTGGAAGAGCAGCCAGTACTCTCAACCTCTGAGCCTTTTCTCCAGCCCTATTCATTTATTTTTGAGACAGGATCTTAGTACATAGCTCTGGCCATCCTGAAACTCACTATGGAGAGCAGGTTGTCCTCAGACTCAGAGATCTTTCTGCCTCAGCCTCCCGAGTGCTGAAGTTAAAGGTATGCCACCATGCCCGGTCCCGTTCAGTTTTTATACAGATTTTAATTTAGTCAAATTTCTCTCTTTTCCTTCCTTTTTGCTCTCTTTCTATCACAGCATTGAGGGGTGAACTCAGTTGGATTGAACTTTTATATTTAACTTTTGACTAGAGCTAGAATTTAGTGTAGAATTTAAAGTCAACTACAAATGGTTTTAAAATGTCTAGTTGCTACTTAATTTCTCCTCTGCAATTTAGAAAGCAAGTCCTGCCTTCTTGTTCAACTCAAAGTTAACTCTTAGCAAATATGATATTGTAATAATATATTATTTTGTGTCGGGGGAAGGTATATGTATGGTGGCGGTAATGGCGGTGATGGTAGCAGTGG